GGCGCCACCCGCCCCACCCCGTGGAGACGGCCGCCCGCCCCCTGCCGCCCCGGGCTCTTGGGGGGGGCGTGGGGGGGCCGCAAACTGTACCCCCCCCCCCCCCCCCCCCGATTCGAATTTTTGCGTTAGTACTTGAAAACTCCCCTCCCTCATAACCATACTGTTAAAAAGATACCTCCCTACTAAAGACAGGATGAACAAGGATCAGCTGAAGGAACTCCTGGAAGGTTTAACTACGTCTTTCGCCCAAGTCGCAACCACCATTGCAAACTCCAAAAAGGACCCCGAAGATAAGAGGGAATTGACTCATGTGAAGATTGTATCCTTCTACGGGAATGATGACGAAGATCCGATCGAGTGGCTGGAGTTGTTTGAAAGGGCCGCCGTGGCTAACAATTGGTCCAAGCAAAGAATGTTAAAAATCGCGTCTGGATATCTCCAAGGGTTGGCTGCAGACTGGTATAAAGGAAAGAAGGAGCAGCTGAAGGAGTGGAATGACGACGACGACCAAGAAGGAAGCTTTTATCACGCTTTCCTGGAATTCTTCGATACGCCAGAGAAACGCCATCGTTGGCAGATAGAATTGAATAATCTACAACAACGATCCGGAAGGAGATTTACCTGATGCTTATGTTATCCGGATGTTTTTAAGTGGCCTGCGTGGTAAAACCCCAACGTTCGTCGCCGTGTCGGAACCAGAAACGCTGGAAGAAGCCATCATCAGTGCGCGAAGGGTCGAGGCTGGCGAATATTATAGTAAGCAGACCCAGGAAAAAGGTCACCAAAAGAAGCTGGAGGAGGAATTAGGCAACCTATCCCAGAAAATTGAGCAGATAGCCTTGAACTACGCCGCCCTTAGCGAGAAACGTTCTAGAGAGCCTCGTGGAGAAAGTAATTGGAAGAATGATAAAGGCCAGGAGAAACGCCGCGAATTTAGGAAGGGAATGACGTGCTATAACTGTGGCGAGGTTGGTCATATAGCCCGTTATTGTTTGTCAGAAAAGAGCCCTAGAATCCACGAAGACCAGCAGAAGAAAGTTAGTAACTACGTTGGAAAACTGGCGTCCCATGATAATGACGAAGGCTGGGAAGAGGACGAAGTTTACACCCTAAACGAAAATAGATACCAACCGTACGAAGGAAATAGAGGAAAGACGCCGCAAGCCCAATCCGAATCCCAGTGGGAAAGTAGATTAAGGAGTGCCCAAATACCAACCAACCGCTCGTAGACTTAGACGGAGTAATGGAAGAGGACGAATTCGTACCGTCAAGGAAGCCCAGAAGAAAGCGTAACCCTTCGGTAATCGACAAGATGACCCCTTACGATATCGCAGAAGATATCATGAATGCCCCGGCCCGTGTTACTATAGGTAAGTTGTTGCAGTACCCCAACCAGCGGCGCCTTTTGGCACAAGCCCTTCGAAGACCCTTACCTCCCGTCCAAGAAGCTGGCCACGTGAAATTCGAAGACGATAGGAAGACAACGGCAGCGCGTTGCTACGTTAGAATTCGAGGCAACCCGGTTGTGGCGGTATTAGACTCTGGAGCGGCCGTGAGCATCATGACCAAGAAGCTGGTCGATAAGTTAGGACTCCGTATACAGTCGAAGTCGTCCACTGTCGTAGTTACGGCTACGGGTGCTAAAACCAGGGCATTAGGCAAAATCAACGATGTGAAAATAGTGATCCAAGACGCAATGATCCCCAGCACCCTACAAGTTATAGAATCGTCAGACGAAACCCTACTTCTAGGGACCGATTGGTTCCAAAAAGCCAAAGCCCGCCTCCACTTCGACGAACGACGATTAATCCTGAAGCACCAAGGCCGAACGATTGAAGTGCCCATCTCCCACACTGGTACGGAAAGCTTGAGAGAACCCCGGAAGGACGATTGGGAAAAAGGTAGTGGCGACACGTTCGATGAGTTCACTTATGAGGATGAATAATTGGATGAGATCGATGGATATTACACTGTTGAATCTTCCGACGACGAAATCGACCTCTATAGTAACCCGTGGAAGGACGAGGTTAGCCCAGCAATATATTTAACGTTAGTTGAAGAAGTGCCCGCCCAAAAAGAAGAGGAGGAAACCGAACCTACCCTGAAAGAACGATTGGAAAAGTTCGCACAAGCAGACACGTTAAGCGGTGAAGAAAGAGAGGAGGCCCGCACTTTCATTGAGAAAGAAAGCTGCTTGCTCACAATAGGCCTCGACAAATTAGGAACGACCAGCCTTGTAACTCACCATATAGATACCGGCGACGCTAAGCCCATCAAACAACATTTTTATAGGACGTCCCCAGACGAGCAGGAATTCTTGGATGAGGAGTTGGAGTCGTTGGAAAAACAAGGATGATTGGAAAGTCCGAAAGTCCATGGGCGTCCCCAGTGGTAATCGTCCCAAAGAAGGGTGGCAAGCTGCGCATGTGTATAGATTATCGACGGTTGAATGCGGTGACAAAGAAGGACGCATATCCACTGCCTCGTATCGACGATTTACTGGAAACGTTTAGGGAGGCGAATTGGTTTACGTGTTTGGACCTTAGGAGCGGCTATTGGCAAGTACGAATGAATCCGAGTGACCAAGAAAAGACGGCGTTCGTAACGAGGAAGGGCTTGTATGAATTCAAGGTGATGCCGTTCGGGTTGTGTAACGCACCTGCGACGTTTCAGCGGTTAATGGATAAGGTGCTGGCGGAATACATAGGAAAGTTCGTAGCGGTATATATCGACGATATCAACATATACTCTAGAACGTTCCAAGAACATCTGGACCACCTAAAGAAAGTATTCATTAAATTAAACCTAGCCGGGTTAAAAATTAATTTAGAAAAGTGTAGCTTCTTTAAAACCGATCTCCAGTTTCTAGGACATGTCGTTGGGCGTAGCGGTATCCGACCCGACGAGACGAAGGTCGATAAAGTAAAGCACTACCCAGTACCCAAGACCCCTCGACAATTAAGGGCCTTTATAGGACTAGCGTCCTATTATCGTCGGTTTATCAAGGGCTTTGCAACTATCGCGCAACCCTTACATCATCTACTGAAAAAGAATATTAAATACGAGTGGACTAGCGAACAGCAGATTGCCTTCGAAAGATTAAAGGCATACCTAACTACATCCCCTATCCTACAGTATCCAAACTTCTCAAAAACCTTTTATTTACACACGGACGCATCCGGCACAGGATTAGGTGCAGTATTAGTACAGAAGGGAGAAAACGGCAAGGATCATGCGATTTCGTACGCCAGTAGAGGGTTGTCACGGGCGGAGAAAAATTATTCGACCACGGAGCAGGAGTGCCTTGCAGTACTATGGGCCGTCGAGTATTATCGCCATTACTTCGGGTTTAGGCCGTTCGTGGTAATAACCGACCATGCGGCGTTGAAATGGCTCCATACATCTAAATTAAATGGACGACGGGCTAGATGGATTATACGGTTGCAGCCCTACAATTACACTATAGAACATCGGGCTGGTAAGAAGCATAGTGACGCAGATGCGCTTTCGCGGCAACACGACCCTCCGGAAGTCGGTAGTAATAGGGTAGAGACAGATGTTAGTGCACAAAAATGTAGGGAATGGTTACTCTCGTTAGCGGAATGTGACGCTGAGGAATGTGTAGATGAGACGGAATTAGGCGGATATACCGGTTGGAGTATTGAAAACGTGGAATTAACCGCTCACAACGACGATGACGAATGGGACGATAGTGAATGAATTGACGAAGAAACGGAGACGTGGTGGGACTTCGATGAAGAATTCGAAGTATATACAGTAATAGAAGAGGATGGTGACGAAAAGGAAGAAAATGTAAAATTAGAAGAAGGTGTAGAGTCGGAAAATAACCTGCCAAGACTTATAGCCCCTCTTGAGAAGAATAGAACTGAATCCAAGACGGTAACCCGATGAAGTTCCAAAAATTGACGATAGGGTACCGTATGGCGCTACACTTCACCCACCTAACTAGGTCCTATGGTATAGTATACCATGTATATTCGCATCCAACCGAATTCGACCATTACGCCTTAGAAGTGCAGAATCGACGTAAAACCATCCACATAGCGCAACATTGTGGGTATCGATTGATAGCGCATGACCCTCGAAATTTGTCGGTATTACGAGATTGGATCGTTAGTGGAGCACGCCAAGAGTTGGCTCGAAGGGAATACTTGTGTAGCACTGGAATCGACCTGG